CCCCCCCCCCCCCCCCCCTCCAAAAGAAAAAAATAAATAAATAAAAAAAATAAATACACAAATAAAATCATATCCTCAACAATTGAAGTGCGTGTCTGTCATTGGTAACGAGATGCCGTGCATTGCAACGTGAGGCGCAGTTGTCTACAAAAAAAAAAGAATTGGAAGGGAACGGCCATACAGAGAAAAGCATCCATTTATGCAATTTCCCGCTTACTGCTTGAGGGATTAGGGTGGGAGGAAAAAAAGTGGTTCCGTTTCCTTTTTTCTTCTTCTTATTCCTTCTGGTAAAATAACCACCGAATGCATTTTTGCCCCTTCTCCCCCATGCGACGACAAGAGAAGAAGAAAAAAAAAAAAAAGGAAAAAAGGGCAGGGAGAAGAAGCAAAAAAGGTCAAAAATCCGGAAGAGCGCACATGTACGAACCAACACACACGCACCCCGCTTCCCCCCTCTCCGCCCCAATAGGCGCGGCAGAAGATTTAAATAAAACTTAAAAAAAGGACGGAGGGAGAAGGTGAGTGTGAATGAGACTGAAGAATGGAGGAAGAGGAGGAGACATAGAAACGCCTCTTTCAACAACAACAAAAATAAATACAAACAAAAAAAAAAAAAAGAGATCATTCCCAATTAAATTAAAATTAAAAATTAAAAAATTTAAAAATTTAAAAATTTAAAAAAGGATATATTTATTTATTTATTTTATATATGAAAGGGAGGGAAGTGGGGTAAGGGGGGTTTGTTGATTACCGGTTTTTATCATTGCTTTACCCCCTAACCCTAACCCCAACCCCAACCCCAACCCCCCTCCCCCCCCTCTCTCTCTCTCTCCCCATAAAGAAAGACACATCTGTGGATGCAAACATATGCATTTCATATTGCTCCGCCCGTAAATAAATAAAGAAATATATATATTTATTTATTTATATATTTCTTTTTTTATTGTTTTTCTTTATTTGGGATTTAAAAAATATATAAATTTATATATATATATTTTTTTGCGTCCAACGCCTCTTCCCACCTCTCTCTCTCTCTCTCTCTCTGAATGATGTAATGCATACATACACACACGGACACATGTATATGCAAAAAAAAAAAAAAATGAGGAAAATGAGAAAAGCGCTAAGGCAGGCCTTACAATGCCGATAGTGCACATTGAAGTTATATTTATATAAAGAGAGAGAAAAAGAGGAATAAAGAGAGAGAGAGAGAAGGGATACATGCATGCAGGTGTAGATATACGTATACATACACTTGTATTTCCATTCCCTCTTTCTATCTCTCTACTCATCCTCTTTTCCTCCCTCTCTTTTGTGTGTTCTCGGGGAAGTTGCCGTGCACCGCGTCCATTACAAAATAAACAAACACAAACACACACACACACACAAAAAAAAAAAAAAAAAAAAAAAACAATGACCTCTACTCCTCCTCCTCCTCCTCCTCCGCATCACCATTCGTCCCATTCTTCGTTGCCCTCCCTCGGCCGTTTTATTCCCTTTTTTTTTTCTCTCTCTCTCTCTCTCTCTGTGTGTGTGTGTTTTACCTCCGTCTTACCCCCGGTATCCGTCTCGCTTTAAAAAAAAACCCTCTCTCCATCCTCTACCACATGTTTTCTTTTTTTTTTTACGCGACTTCTTCCTCCAATTGAGAGTTTTTTCCCTTTTTTTTTTCTTTTTTTCCTTCTTGTACTGACGTAACTGCGGTGGATAGTTACATACTCATCAAACGAGCAGCGGTGGCAGCAAAATGAGAAAAATGAATCAATAAATAAACACAAACACACCGGTGTCACCAAAACGACCGCCGCCTTCGCCGACACTCCCCATCACCACCACCACACACACACACATCTCTTCTTTTCTGTTTCTCTTTCTCCATTCTCTCCGTTGCATGGACAACTCTAATCCTTTTTTCCACCACCACCACCACCACCGCCCTTCCCACGTCCCAGAGCCGCCCTACGCGCGTTACCCCTCAGCCCTCCCGCTGGATTGTTCTCTGTGTGCGCATTGCCCCCTACGTTTGCCCCACTGCCAGTACCACCCCTCCCATCAGCTACATACCTCTGCAATATTATAACAAGTAAGGCTAACTGTAGCATTATTAAGACAATAGTGGCATACTCATGTTGTAATGCCATCAAGCGGAATCGCACTGCCTGTGTTACATAAAACCGAAGAAAATACAGGTATATCCTTTCCAAGTAGGTAAGTAATCCCTCGCAATGCCTCCAACAGAATGCCTGATGTCGCTCATTTATAGGGTAAAGATGATACCAGGTGTAGCCGAGAACAGCATCGGCGACGGGTTCTGTCATCAGACGAGCCAACCGGCCATCTTCTACAACGCACGTTAAGCAGCTTTCCTGTTCCTTCTCGTCCAAAAGGTATTTCATAAAGTCATTATAACGGTTATTTAAAAGTAAAGATACGCCTTCGTCCTTCGGTTCATACAACTTCTTCACTTGTGAAATAATCAATGATGCTCGCTTCACTCTTTCCGTACGGTCCCTGTCAAGTGCTGTGTCACAGCCAAGATTATTTGGGTTTTCCTCACATGCACGGATAAAGGAGCTGTGTGGTTTATCATATCCCTCAGTAGCCCTCATAAGCAATGTACTCCGTGACAACTGAAAGGCGTCCAAGCTGCGCAGAACTTCACCACACCTTTCACAATCTTCCGTCTTGCTAAGAAGTCGGCTAATGTCGATCATCGCACTCTCCCTTGTTGGCAGTCGTGAGAGATCCGCACAGAGAAAAAATACAACACACACAATCAGCAGCGTGCTAAACAACACCTTAAAAGAGAAAATCATTCCCTTTATTTCCTTCTTCTGTTTTTTTTTTTTTTTTGCCCTGTTTCTTTTTTCCTTTGATAAGCTTTATTTTTGGCTTTTTAGATGATCCTTCGGCGCCTCCCTCCTCCTAGCCTTAAAATATAAAAACGTGTCGCATGCAGACAAAAGCAGTGGAAAAAGAAAAAGGAAAAGAAGCGAAAAAGATAAAGCTAGGCGTGCGCTGCTCGGCAAACAGGCATTGCCCACCTCCGCGCGGCATACACGCACAAAGACAGTCTCTCTCCCTCTCCGGAGATGCAAACAAAGTGGGAATCATGACGGTGGGGCAGGCATTGTCAAGGCAATCACGCTGTCGAATGCACGGTGCCCCCTCTCACCAAAACACAAATAAGAAACAAAATAAATGACAATTATTGTTCCTCACACCAAGCCTCAACGAGCTGCAGGCGTCCCTCCTCGTGGTGGCTGCTGTGGCCGCCACTCACTGCTCCCAGGCGTTGTTGTCGCGCTCGACCCAGCCGAAGCCCTCGTCCGCCTCCGCCACCGGGGCGGCGGCCTGGTTGACCTCCTCGTGCTTCAGCGCCTCCTCAGGGTCGCGGTAGAAGAAGAGGTCCACCTTGACATCCCACGGCACACTGCGGGGGATCGTGCCGCGCAGGCGCAGCACCTCGCGGGCCAGCAGCCAGTACATCATGCTGATGGAGTAGCGGCCGCGGTTGTTGCACGGAATGGCAATGTCCACAAACTCCAGCGGGGCGTCCGTGTCGCAGAAGGCAATCACGGGGATGTTCACAAGGCTGGCCTCACGAAGGGCCTGGTGGTCCGTGCGGGGGTCCGTGACAAGCAGCACGCGCGGCTGCATGAACTTCTTCTGGATCTGGTTCGTGAAGGTGCCGGGGATGAAGCGGCCAGCCAGGAACGACGTGCCGACAAGCTGCGAGAACTTGAAGATGGCGCGCTGACCGAAAAGACGCGTAGAGCAGACAGTGACGTCCTGCGGGTTTTCCACCGCGGCGATGACGCGGGCGGCGAGGATCAGCTTCTCCCACGTCATGTGGAGGTCAATGATGTTCGTGCCCTCCTTCGTGCGGCTGTGGATGTACTTCTTCATGGCGTTGCTGCGGTTCTTGGTGCCGAGGTGGCAGTGCATGGCAACGAGCTTCTGCACGTCGCCCTCCTTCATGCGGAGGACCTTGGCGCCAGATTCCACAGAGGTCATTCGGATGCAGTTGGGTTGTCCTTGAGTGCGACTTGCGTGAGCAGAACTGCATGGAAAAAAACAAAGACAAAAAAAAAAAGGTCAGTCAACTGAATAAATGCGCAACAGGAACGTCCCTCACTCTCTCACTATTTGTGCGTCTGTGTCACATGATGGCAAGAAGCGTCTGTTATGTGTGTCTGGGGAGTCAGTAACATGCGAAGACGCAGTTAAATGAAATGGATACACTACAATCAGTGTCCTTTACATTGCATTGGGTATGTATATGTGTTATTGCAGCCCAAGGAAGTAAGCCCAGACAAATCGCCCGAAAAGAAATATATATATATATATAACAAAAAGAACAATGGTATGATGGTGAATAGCATTCGGTGCCGCTGTGGACTCACACTCCAAAGCGATGCACAGAGAACAAGAACCACGACGTCACCTGCATCTCAAAATCCGGAGAAGGTCGATGTGTTTTTGGCGTGTGAGAGATACTCCGCAAGTTTGTCGTTGCTCATTTGTATTTCGTAGTACTTTCTCTTTGTTTCGTGGAGTTCGCGCCGTAGACGTTCCGCCTCATATTTCAGCTCTGAAATGTGTGTAGATGTCATGTTCAACTCAGACGCCTTTTGTTTCATCACTGCGTTCTTATGGCCTAATTCCTTATGCATGACGTTTAGTTGCCGTGCCACCTCATTTCCTGGCTGACGGGCAAAAATGTTCTGCAGCTCCGTCACAAGGCGTTGCTTTTCCTGAACCTCCATATCCTTCTCGACACATTCCTCAGACTTGGTGATGAGGCGACGCTGCAACAGAGCAATTTTTTTTTCAATTTCCTCTGGTGTGGGATCGCGGCCTGAGATGTTTTCCCAGCGGAGCGTATTTTTCGGGTTCTCCGCCTCCTCTGTGAGGGCCTGCACCTTCGCTCGTTGTGCCTGCAACTCGTACTGGAGTTGGTTGATTTCGTCCTTCAGACACTCCGTGTGGAATGCGCGTTTCTGTGCAATCGAAGCCTTCCGTTTCAAGTCCTCAATTTTTAATCGTAGCAGACGCATGTCTTCTACGCGCGCCCGGCAGGCGGCTTCCCCGTGCGTCAACAACTCCTGCTGCATGCGCACCTTGTCGTAAAGAAGTGCAAGTTCGTCATTTCGCCGTATAAGTTGTGTGCCTAAGAGATCGCGTTCCCCACTCACCGCCAGGAACCGCTGCTGATGCTCACTGAGCTCCTTGTCGCAGCGGCTGATGATCTTCACAAGCTGTTTGATCTTTTGCCCTACATTTTCACAACGCTGGTTCGCCTCATCCAAGGCGGCGGTTCGCTCATTGACAACTTTGCGAACTTTTGTCAACTTGTCCTTTGACGTCTTCTGCGCGCTAGACTCCTCTTGAAACTTCTTCTCTTTCATCGCCAACTCCTCCTTCAGCTGAAGAATCTGGTGGTCCATCATGCGGAACTTTTGCTTCAACTCCACCACCTCGTCTTGCGACTCAATGAGTTTCTTTGAGTAAAGATTCCGCTCCGAGCGCAC